GACAATTTTTTATTAAATTTTGAAAATTTAGTGACATTTTAAAAGGACTGTATAAAACTAAAGCTCATAAATCCTATAATTCAATGTTCGATGTAAAAAATGAAGATGAGGCTTAATGCATGCTATGTCTAAATCCACATTATGTGCAAATTTAAGACCGGTATTTACTGTTTAATAATGCAAATGTTTCTCTGTTATCCAGTGCTGATTTCTGGGAGCCAAGAATTGGTACCAAGGCTGAGATAGTCTAGGTAGTGATCCCTGGAATCTGTGACCCAAGGGCTCCTCACCACCCAGGTGCAGGGCAGAAGCGTTCCTTGTCAAGTCTAGTTCTCTGGTCAAGGTAACCAGGGGCCGCCTTCCCTTACACAAGTGCCTGCTGTAATTTAACTATGTGGGTTTCTCTCCTCTTTGCACATCTCCATTCCTTTGGCCTCAGTGGAAGCTTCTGCATACTTTCCTCATTTAATCGAGGCCATATCCCTGGAGAATCACACCCCAGCTCATAGCAGCACTCACCACCCAGCCCCGCATCTGTGGCTTGAGACTCACAGTGAATCCTGGACATGTTCTCTTAGAATTCCCACATCTCACACCCAACCTGTTCAATACTGACTCATTATTTCTCTCATCCCCAACCCTTAGTGTCTGTTCTTGATCTCGCCCTTAGCACTAACCGTGCATCCCGTCTTCTTCCTTCTGGCTGCTGCCTTGCCTAGTCTCTGTGTCCCTTGCCACTGCTGTGTCCCTCCAGCCTGTCCCTGACACTGTCTCACCCCCTCACACTCCCTGTTCATCGTTCCTTGAGGAATTCCTCTAAAATGTAAATTAGAGAGTCCCTCTGTAGTTGGGATCAGGGTCCATGCATTTGATAAATATCTCAAATGATGAATGCTTGAATTTTTGTGCCCAGAACAGCATGGGGGCATTTACTCTAAAGAGTATCTTCAACTGGGCCTGGCCAGAGGGGCAGCAGTGGAAGGGGTGGACAGGAGAGAAAAGACATTATAGCAAAAAGCTCAGATGGGTGTGCTCGTGTTGCGGAACAGGGAAGAGAGGCTTGTCCACTCTGGCTTCCCCTTAATAAAGAAACAATAAAAAATGTTTTCCAGCCCCAGTGAAAATTATAAGAAATGACTCTGAAACCATAA